TCAAAGTCTTTTTTGTTGTAGTGATGTTTTTGAGTTTCTCAAATTTAAGGTAAACTTGATTTTAATTCTCCCAATTTAAAATTAATCTTTTTAGTTCCTATAATTTAAAAAAAAAATCATGTTTTGGTTTTTATACTCAATTTTTATTAAATAATTTGTCAAATACTGTTACATAAAATTTACCTACTGGTATCTATATACATTAAGCCCACTAGCAAATGGTACATAGATATATTATTATAAATTGATGACCTAGAAAATTAAAACAAGATTTTTTGAAAATTATAAAAATTAAAAAATAACTATTTTAAATTTGAGAGATCAAAAATAAAATTATCCTAAATTTTAGAGACTAAAAACATATGTAAACTTGATTTTACATAACTTTTGTACTCTAAGTCCTTAACTAGGTCTACAATATCAAAATATGATTATTTATCAACGTCTAAATTCTTAAATGCACGTGTTTCTCTTTCATTATCTTGAAGATTTTATTGTCTCACAAAATACCTCATATGGTGGAATAGAAATGTAAAGGACATTTCTTATGTGAAAAAAAAATGAAAAAAAAATATAACAAACCTTTCTTACTCCCGCTGGGCAATACATATGCTTAAATGAGTTCATTAAAAAAACTCACAATATATAATGGCGATAATAGTAATCAGTCCATCGTAAACCCCCACCAGCCCACAATGAAATGTTATCTTTGACATCACAATAATAACAATAATAAAAAAAACAACAACAACAAGAACAAAAAGGGAAAAAACTGCAGAAATAATAGACCGATAGGTACTTCATCCGAATGATTGTAGATATCCAATTTCATCCAGGATACCAGAACAAGATAAAGGACTACTAAAATAAGGCAAGAGGTCCTTGAAGGCCCAATACGACATGAGAACAGTCCAAAAAAGCATCAAAAGGCTCAGAAGCTCAAAAGGGCCAAATTAGGAGCTTAGAACAAGTTGTTTCCAATCTAGAACGGACTGTTCCAAACCATTAAAAAAGCCTAAAAATCCTAGGTCAAAATGGGTCATTCCCAGTCCAAAACGAGCCGTTTTGACACAGGTTGTTATGAACAAAATAGTAGTTTGGAACGGGTCGTTTCGATTTTGAAACGGGTCATTCCAAATTCAAATTTTGGCCATAACAAACCAATTTGGAACGACCCTTCCACTAATCAAAATGGTCGTTCCAGTTGGTTCTCACACCTATAAATAAGTGTCTCATGCATAGTGCAAAGAAACCGAAGTTGGACTAAAATTGTCATCTTTGACCCGTTTTCTGTAGTTTTAGCTCAGAAATCTCTCCTCTCTCTATATTTTGTATTTCTTGAGTGCTCGTGGGTTATTTGTAGAACGAAAGACTGCCAAAAAGCGCCTAACCCCTACATTTAAAGGAAGAATTCAATAAAAGCTCGCTTCGGAGGTATTTTCAGTAATTCCCATCTCTCTCTTTTATTTAAATTGCTTTATATACATGACTTTGCTATAGATAAACAATAATCATGTAGACATACCATTTTCAAACGTGTGGGGTCTAAACTCCTTACTTTTTTTTTATTATAAATAATCGTAATTTAAAATAACATGTAAATAACCACTGAAAAGAGGAATAAATATTCAAACTATTATTCTTTATTATGTTAATTTCATCATATGGTACTAATTTAGGACGTTGTAGGTGCCTAATACTTTCTCTACACGTAAACGCACGCAGTCCTGCTAGGTCAGTTTCGTGCTTGGCACGAATGCTCTGCAGGTCGACAGCGTGTTGCTGCCGCATCTGTTCGACTTGTTCGATCAGTCTTCTCAATGCTGCTTCGCTGTCCATTCTAGTTGTGCGATCTAGGTCGTCTGTTGCTCGTCTACTATGGCTTTGGGGTGAAAACCATAAGTGTGGCCGATAAGAGCTGTCTTGATTGGCCCCACAGTGGGCGCCAAATGTTCTTACCGGAGATCAGAAATAATAGACCGATAGGTACTTCATCCGAATGATTGTAGATATCCAATTTCATCCAGGATACCAGAACAAGATAAAGGACTACTAAAATAAGGCAAGAGGTCCTTGAAGGCCCAATACGACATGAGAACAGTCCAAAAAAGCATCAAAAGGCTCAGAAGCTCAAAAGGGCCAAATTAGGAGCTTAGAACAAGTTGTTTCCAATCTAGAACGGACTGTTCCAAACCATTAAAAAAGCCTAAAAATCCTAGGTCAAAATGGGTCATTCCCAGTCCAAAACGAGCCGTTTTGACACAGGTTGTTATGAACAAAATAGTAGTTTGGAACGGGTCGTTTCGATTTTGAAACGGGTCATTCCAAATTCAAATTTTGGCCATAACAAACCAATTTGGAACGACCCTTCCACTAATCAAAATGGTCGTTCCAGTTGGTTCTCACACCTATAAATAAGTGTCTCATGCATAGTGCAAAGAAACCGAAGTTGGACTAAAATTGTCATCTTTGACCCGTTTTCTGTAGTTTTAGCTCAGAAATCTCTCCTCTCTCTATATTTTGTATTTCTTGAGTGCTCGTGGGTTATTTGTAGAACGAAAGACTGCCAAAAAGCGCCTAACCCCTACATTTAAAGGAAGAATTCAATAAAAGCTCGCTTCGGAGGTATTTTCAGTAATTCCCATCTCTCTCTTTTATTTAAATTGCTTTATATACATGACTTTGCTATAGATAAACAATAATCATGTATACATACCATTTTCAAACGTGTGGGGTCTAAACTCCTTACTTTTTTTTTATTATAAATAATCGTAATTTAAAATAACATGTAAATAACCACTGAAAAGAGGAATAAATATTCAAACTATTATTCTTTATTATGTTAATTTCATCATATGGTACTAATTTAGGACGTTGTAGGTGCCTAATACTTTCTCTACACGTAAACGACCTCCGAACCTAATTTTGGCTATGAAGGCCATTATAGTAATTTTAAAAAAAATCTTTTTTTGATATTTTGAGTAAAATATCGGTGACAACTTCTTCGAACCTTTTCAAAAACTATTAATTAAGGATTAGTCTGATTTTCAGACATTTTCTAACTATAAAATTTTCAAAATAAAAGTCCAAATCATTTGCGTAACATCAAAATTTTTCGAATTCAAACAATGATCTGTATAAAAATATGTGCATATTTTTGCATATGCTTCATTTTAAATAGATAGAAGATTCTGATTTCCCGACAAGCACAACACCAATACGGTGATCACAATTTACATTGGTTCGAGTTGACGTTCTACATCAATTCTAAAAGGTTCAAATATTTAAGAGAGATAGTCATATTTAGGATAATCATGTCTCAAACATTATATTCTAATAATATGGTAACTGTACTATCCGTATGGTTATGCCGAGCTCAAGCTCGGCATCACAGCGCGGAGTGACCTCGGACACGCGCTAGGCAACATCGGCCAAGACAAGGCCCACTATCTAAACAAATTACAACTGATCTCAGGCTCAAGGCCCAGAAAAACCCTAATTCACACTAAGGTACGTGCATTACTTATACGAGACCCATACATCCAGTTGAGGGCACAGGGACCTCTCTAGTCCTCTCATGCCCAACATGATCTTAGTCATGCCACGCTTCAATCATCCAGAGAAAAGACACCAAAGGACGCTTGGCGAGACATTTCACGCCCAGCCCAAGAGGTCAAAGATATCTTTGTGGCTCTTGCTTCCTAACGTGACCTTCTTCATGCCCAATGTTAGGATTCGCACTCACCACGCTCAAGGTGTTAAAGACATTCCCAACTCTATCACAAATGTTTTGCACTTTTTAAAATAAAAAGGTCTTGGATTAGGGTTTTTAAACCCTTATGAATTCTTGTCAATGTCATTGAGCTTTGATTAAACGATAATATACATCAAGTTCATGAAAAAACATATAATTATAATCAAATAACTCATAATCATTCAAATCATACAAAACCCTCAATTATCATGCAACCTTGTCCCTAAAATATTTTGATGCATAACACCATACAATTCAACATCATCGACAACAAACTTCATTCAGATTCATAATAAGAAATTATTCATATTCAAGTAACCAGATCAAGGGATTGCCACTTGGACCATAACAGTTAGGGGTCCATAGAATTTTACTTGTTCCAAACAGCAAGGGACTGGGAAGAGACTAGAGAGCAAAGATTTTGGGTTGAATCCTACATTCTTTACACCAGGGAGGAAGAGAAAAAACGGTATAGGGAAAAAAATGGAATCACTCTGACAAACCATCTCATGCATCTTGGAATAAAAAGCAAAAACAACTAGTTAATGAAACTCGTCAGCCAAATTAAAAAATAAAAAAAACATTTAATTTATATATTCAAAGATTAGTTTTTTAAGCACCGATATGCAGACTCCAAGTTCACTTTATTTAATACATTTTATAACTCATAATTGAGTAAATACTCATTTTAGTTCCCCAAAGATACTTGTGACATCAATTTGGTCATAAAGTTGACATCAATTTAGTGTGTTTGGATACGATTTGGTGATCCAAATCCTCTCTTAAATTCACATTGACATGTTGAAATGAACGTGAAAATGGGAAACCAAACAGGCTCTTAATCCTTCAACCGCAGAAAGTGACATCAAAACCATCCTTCTATATAGACACCATCAGAACAACATTAATTGGTTGACAGTGTAAAAGAGTTCACACTGACTATGTATCAAAATTAAAGTCTTTATATATGTGTTCAACATAAAATATATTTTCCCATATGAAGGGTTGAAAGCAGCTATGAACTGTCTCTCTTTAAATCTTCAATCCTTTATCAACAATCAATTTGATGTTAAACCATGCTAGTAATGTATAATTTACAGTTTCCAGTTCTGAAATATCAACAATTAGTTTATTGAATGTCAATCAACTTGATCAAAATCAGCTAATGCTTAAATAATTAAACTAGGCATGTGACACCACCATTAATGAAAAGTTAAAACAGAATGGATCAAAATAGCTGACAAACCTGCACCATGATAGGATTTGGCCCCGATGGAGAAATGTAAACTGCTGGTCCAGCATTAACAACAGATTCTGCCTGAAATTTGGAGATCATGAATGATACGTTGTTACAATAAGGTAAACCAAATGACCTAAGAATGACAACATACAGAAGACTGTCCCATTCGCAGTGTCAACATTGTTCGGCCAAGTTCAAGAAGAAGTGCACCCAAATGCTGCATAGCAAGTCCTATTTGCATCGACTCTGACTGTATTTGACCCCTTGTACGTAGATCAGCAGAAGTTCCTTCTCTTTCCAAGTGCCCTGCAATATGCTAGAGTCGCAAATTACAAGTAAAACATAATCAGATAAGATAAAGGAGGAACATAGTAAGGCTTGAACAAATCCTACAGTGCAATATGTACTTCATCATGATAACAATATTTCTGTGGTAAACAGAAGTAACTTTAGAATCAGTATCTGTTAGGGATTTTTGAATTATTTCATCTACTTATATGGTCAATGATGGATAGTAAGATATCAGAAGACTTGAGGTTTTATAACAAGCAAGTATGCAATAAACACATCTCTCAAGTACCAAGTTATCTTCAAGTTCAGTCTGAAATGGATTTGACTAGGTATCCAATACATGTTAAAAAGGTTAATTGACACTGCAGAATAGGACGTGTTTGGGCATCCCTAAATAAATCAGCTGACACAATGGATAAAATGGCATGTCTTATCACAGTCCACCAAAACCAAACCCTGCTAAGATTACTAAATATCCCAACATCAAAGTAAAGGCTTTTTAGTTAGATTTAAAAAGTGTATTGCAGATAAAGGCACTAGATAGGAAGATTCCCAATTATTTTTCAGTCCACATAAATAAAATAATTTCACCATCGGCCTCAGAAATGAGCATACTCATTGTCAGTCATTTTAATGACACTTAATTTCCTCCAAACACAAAAACTCAGCACATATTTTTTTTTAAATCTATAATGTACAAGTCTTATACTTCCAATAAATACCCTATAGTTGCAGATAGTAGAAAATTCTTTATATCATTATCATTATGGGGAAAAATGAATATTAGTAAATGGGATGTGTTAATTACAGATAGTGCAGCAACAGCTTGACCACCAAGCAACTGTTCTGCACGATGCAAAACAGAGCTTAATGCTTCAAGTGTCGGCAACCCTTGTGCATTAGAAGGCAATTCCACTCGCTGATCCACAGGGTTAGCTGATGAAAGATTTGGCTCATAACCTGCATAAGCAAATATAAATATTTCAATATGCTTTCAGAATAAAATAAAAGGGCAACAATATCAAAATCATCACCATTTTGTGTTAGTGTCTGTTCCATGCGATTCATAAACTCAGACAGTGTATTCAATGAATGAGGAATTGGCTGAAATATAGGGGAAAGAAAGTTATTACATTAAATTTCCAAAAATAAAAATTAAGCAGAAATGCAAAAGTGAGACTATGTTCCTACTGCATTGAGAGAAGGAAGGGGTATGGCTCCTGCTGCCACAGGAATCTGAACAACATGAGACACAGATTGGAATGTAGGACCAGGAAACGTCTGTCCAGATGGTGTCTGATTTCCTGCTAGGTTCTGATTTCCAGCATGCATTCCTTCAGTTTCATTCCCTGGGAGAGCCTGACCATAGATTGGGTTCCAGTTTTTTAGCATCGGAGTCTCTTTTGCAGGTACCAACCCCACTCGGAACAGCAACTGTACCCAGCGAAGGAGGCTCACCGATCTTGCCCAGCAGATCGTCCCTACGACCGATCTCCGGTAAGAACATTTGGCGCCCACTGTGGGGCCAATCAAGACAGCTCTTATCGGCCACACTTATGGTTTTCACCCCAAAGCCATAGTAGACGAGCAACAGACGACCTAGATCGCACAACTAGAATGGACAGCGAAGCAGCATTGAGAAGACTGATCGAACAAGTCGAACAGATGCGGCAGCAACACGCTGTCGACCTGCAGAGCATTCGTGCCAAGCACGAAACTGACCTAGCAGGACTGCGTGTTGCGAATGAATCTGACCTAGCGGCGCTGCGCGCCGAGAATGAGCGTATTCGCGCCCAGCTCCCTCGGTGCCCTTCTGATCAACCCCCTCAACCGAGTAATCAACACGAGGAAGAGGGGCACTCGGTCTCTCAACCACCGACAGTACCTAGGGCACCTACCCCCAGGCTTGCCACACATCGGTCGCATGCGTCGACGAACAGGTCGACCCATGAAGTCAACAACGCGCCCGTCCAGAATCCGGGACATAGGGCGAGCATCCGCCGCCACCCCTTCGTGGATGGCATTATGGAGATGCCCCTCCCTTTTGGATGGAAGC